GCCCCTTCGCCGTCGAGCACCCCAGGCACCCCGGAGCTCGCCCACAAGCGTCGTCCCCTGCTGCCTCGCCGTGGTCCTCAGCAGCACCTCGTGGGAGTGGCCGTGCGCGCAGTGGAAATTGTTGATGTCAACGGGGGTGCTGGACGCTTTCGCGTTGCCAGGAGCAATTGCGGCATAGGCATGTTCGGTGTGTGTGCGGACACCGTTTTGGACGTACAGGTTACCGCATCGGGGGAAGTACACCGACTTCCCTACCACTTTCTCCAACTCCAACTCGTGTTTACTGAGGGTTTTGGTTTTGAACCCGTCGTCGAAGAGGGACGTCAGAGAGACTAGGTTGTAGTCTAATCGAGGAACGTGTGCAACCCGTTTCAGAGAAGGTCTGCTGTCCCGTCGCGCGAGCTAAGGGGAACCGCAACGTCGCCGTACCCTACAGTAGGGAAGGTTTCTCCGGCGGCGACGCGCACACGTCGATCACACTCGTGATATCGGACGAACCCATCTGAGTTCGCGAACATGTGGGTGGTAGCGCCGGAATCGGCAGCATACCTACCCCGCCTAGCCTGCTCGGCACCCCCTCGACCACCGACTTTGTGACACTCGCCCGAGATGCCACCGACCACCGGCGCCTCTTATGCCACGTCCAGTGGTGTAGCGTCCGCAGACGCTCCCCCCACCGGCACTGCATTTCCAGCACGAGCACCGCCTCCTCGGTCGGCCACTTGCTCTCGGCGTGCCCATAGCCCTTGCGTGTTTCACATTGCACGGGCTTGCTCTCGGTGCAGTCGGCCACATGTTTGCCCTTCTTGCCGCACCGGAAACAGCGACCGCGCAAGCTACCCGCATCGTCGTCGCCGCCTCCGCCGCCTCCGCCGCCGCCACCAGCCTTCGCGCCACCCCCTCTCCCCTTCTGGTTGCCGCCGCCGCCGCCGCCGCCGCCACCCTTTCGGCGGCCGCTGTTGCCGCGGCCCGGCGCTCCTCCCCCGCCGCCACAGTCACTCGCGAGGAGAGCATGCTCCGCCCTACGCTGGCCCTTCGAGGCCTTCCTTCCCTCCGGGAGGCTCGCGTGCACCGTGCTCACGATCCTGACGATCTCGGCCCTATCCAGCGCCGTTGCTGTCTCCAACAGGAACTTCGCTTGTTGGTACTCGGGTGGGAGGGAACCAACGAAGTGGGCGAGAACGAAGGGTTGTTCAGCATCGAGCGCTTTTCGCGCAGGCGGGCATACATCAGCTCGAGTGAGTATATGTGCTCTATGGGGTTGCTGTTGCTGTGTGTGGAGATTGCAAAGTCGAACATCTTCCGCATCAAGGCCTGTTGGGACCCCTGTGGCTCTGGATCGTAGACCTTTTCCAATTCCGTGAGGACCTCTTCTGCTGACGTACAGTTACTGATGATTGCTTTGTCAGCTTCTTTTACCACAGCAGT